CATTTATAGAACACATATTGTTCTTTTTAATAAAAATTGCCATTGTTTTCTTACTTTTTTCCGCTTACAATACTGAGACGGTAGACGCAGTGCGAATTCAAAAGCGATGGGATTACAATTTGGAAGAACTAAAAAACTGTTTAAAAAGTGTCTCTGGAGATGTCGTTTATCCAAGTGATCCCAATTACCTAGTATTATCCCAAGACATTAATACAGATATAGACAGATGTAAGTAAGAAGTTGGATCCGCCCCGATAAACCAAATTTCTACGACCAATTCGGGTTATTGATGATGTCTTTTGTTCTGCAAATTTATCTTCGTACATATTGGCTAATAAATAACGAGTTTTTATTTTTCAAATAGTTCCTGCGGCTTTATTGTATGCAGCAAACGAATATGATATAAAAATTGCGATATATTGCGCAAAAACGTATAAAATACAAATTGTCGCACGTTCTGGAGGTATGAGAAATTATTAACTTGATGTATAACTTTTCATCGTATTTCCAATAACCGTAAATTTCGTATGATTAATTTTTATTAATAGGACATTCATTTGAAGAATACTCTCTTGGAGGTCATGATGGTGCACTCGTAGTTGACTTGAAAAAATTTTCGGATTTAACAATCGATACTAAGACACGCACTGCTGTGATCGGAACTGGAAATAGACTCGGTACTATATATTATAAACTTAGCCAGGTCCGGCACGTTATTCCAGCCGGTGCTTGTCCATCAGTCGGTATTGGTGGTCATTCTTTAGGTGGTGGTTTTGGCTTATATTCTCGAGCATTTGGTTTGGCCTCTGATAATATTCTTTCGATTAAGATGGTCAGCGCAAATGGAACAACCTTAACCGCTAATCCTTTTTCACATCCCGACTTATTCTTTGCTCTGAGAGGTGCTGGAGGAGGCAATTACGGAATTGTTACTAGCATCACATTCAGAATCCACCCTTATTCGGAAAATGTTACAGTTTTCACTTATAATTGGACGAGCACAGCAATTGCCCATAAATTTATTCCTGCGATGGTCAAATTTTCTGCACATGGCACCGATCGTATAACGACA